GAAAAAAATTATTAAAATGCGGCGTGTGTCCACACAACAATGTGAAAGTAAATTTGAAATGGCCCAAGCTGGTCGTAGTTAACGAAAGTTCAGTTTCCTTTCACTGTGTGACTTTATTTTACTAAAACCTTTACAATTGCCACCCGAAAAAAACCTATGTGGCAACGCACTTTGAAAAAATTACGCACTTTGAAAAATTTTTCAAAGTGCGTAATATAAACCAAACTTGCGTTAAGTTTTGGACACACTCAACGCACTTTGAAAAATTTTTTCAAAGTGCGTTAAGAATGCACATAATAATTTTTTACCATCGAGTTATTTAACGCACTTTGAAAAAAAGATATGAATGAAAATAAAAATTCTAGACTTAAATTTTAGTAATAGAGGAAATCAAATTGTAATAATCATATTGAAAAATTTTTTAAATTTACATGTGTTCATTTAACCTCATTGAGAATAATTTGAAGAGGTGAAGGTCTCTCATTCCCATTACTCTTTTTTGTCTTAAACATTGTACATTCGGTAGCAAAAAAGTTGACCCACAGGTAAGCCCCAATTTTTAATGCATACATGTATATTTTATGTATATCTTTGCAAAATATTTATGTGCCTACATGTAACCTCCCTTTCCGGTACTGATGCCTATGCTACACCCAAATATCTGTGTTTACATAACTGGTATGACGTTAAAAACTTTCAATAAATTTAAGTTTACATAAAATGCATGCAAACTTGAAAAAAATTTAGTACAGTAAAGCATTTAAGGGAGAAAGAATTTTGAAGCTTGGAAAAATCAAAATCGCTCACTTTCATATCCTGATGTGACCTCTTCACAGAAGAATTATCAAACAGGTTCAATTACTGTAGACGTACTTTTTTCCGCGGGGTCATAATATATATTCTGTTTAATCCGCGGGTAGAAAATTAGGCGGATTTTCTTGACTGTCACTATATGCCTTACAATTATATTAAGTACGCTTGGACAAATTTCCGCGGATTATCTGTGACCGCGTACATAGCGTTAATTAATACCACGCGGAAAAAAGTACTTGTACAGTATTTAATCATACCTAAGATTTGCAAGAATATTGACAAATCCATACACAGTTTTTCAAAGTGCGTAATTTTTCAAAGTGCGTTGTAACAAACCTACAAAGCATACCTGATTTCTTTTTAATCATTAGAAATCGCTAAATTTTTAACAAACACAACAAAATTACGTAGAGCGTGTAGCGTCATAGTTCATATCATCATGGATCTTCAAAAATTAAATTCATTTCTTACTATTGCAGTATAACTTGGATAGCTATTAAATTCTTTCCTTAAATCACAAGAAGTTACAGTTATTTATTGAGGATTTCAAAATAAATCTAATTTAAGCAACAGTTTTTATATAATGTATGTATTAGTGATAACCCCTAAACCAAGGGACATTAATTGTCACTGTAAATTTTAATACTTGAGCAAATTCATTTATTTTTTACTTTTAATTGTCAAAAACTACTTTTTTTACAAATTAAATTTTTACAATTAAAAACATAAAGAACTTACCTGCATATCCGTAAAAAAATTGGAATTCTAAATAAGCAAATAAAATTGGTATTTTTACGAGATGAGAAAACATTCTCCAAGTAAAACACGTATCTTGCTTGGCTTATGATTATCAACTGTTGGGTCGAATACAAGTTTTAACGATTAATAATTTATATGTTTTTGTAAAGCAATATGAGCTGCATTTTTTAAAAAAATTATTTTGCTGCTAAAAATATTTGTATGTCACTTTAACCTTTGTGATCAATAAGATCAAAATAAAGCAGATTAAAGACTTTTATATACAACCCAATATACAGTTTTATATAAGAAATTATTATAGTACAGGACGACAATAATGTAATTTTGATTCAATCGAAGCTTATAGATAGTCCTTTCATCGCAAATATGAACATCAGAAATTCATTGCTGTTATTTTTTTTTTTGTCATTGAAATAGTTTTTTTTTACGATTTTGCAATAAAAATTTCCGACATAAAAGTTGCAGCGCATATTATTTTAACAATATAGGTGTCATACATTATTTTTGCTAGCAGAAAAACGAGAACAGTGATTATAAGAACAAGTTCTTTCTCATTGCATATTAAAAAAATATTTGTTTTAATTTTCACTTGTATTTTTTCCACCAAATTGAACCCTTGTTAAACGAATACTAGTAACGATGCTGTACAAAATACATAACTTAAGAGATATTGCCAAGATGAAAATTAACATCTTTTCTCGACATGAAATTACATTACTTTCTTTCCGTTCAATTTATTCTTAAGATCTTTTTTTTCTAGACAGCGAATATAAGAAATATAATATTTTTAGGTGACTTTCACAAAAAAAAGAGGTTAAAAAAGTAAACCATTTTCCTAGGAAACAAAGTTTTAAAATGATGTCAACATTGAAACTATACATGCATGACCTTAATGACAAAATGAAGATGCTGATTAAAAAAAGCATTGATTTATTTTGAAAGCATAATTTTAAAAATGACCGAAACCTTAAATCTGCTGCTAATTTCAAAACTTTAAGAATGTTCGTCTTAAAAATAAGTGATTTGCCATTAGTTTAAATTTCATTTTGATCAAATTATTTGGAAATGTGGTTAATTTTTGCAAAGTCACCTGTGTTAGTACAAAAATACTACGACTTAACAAAATAAATAAACAATCCTCAATACAAATAAAAAAATACTGAATGCAAGAAATAAAAATAGCAATACAAATCGAAAGGTTACTATAGAAATAAGAAATGCTACACATATATAAAAAATTATACAATTCAATTGTTGTAACAATACTACTGGAAATATAGGATGATATAACGATTCAAATAAACCATCCTTTTCTCATTTATCAGTTAGTAAATTAGTAAAACGAAAACAACATAGGAAGTGATATATAGTTAAAATGATAAACATGTGATATTTGTGTTTAAATATTTAAGTGAACTCTTTAAAATGAATTCAACCAAGAAGTCTGATATTCAATTGTTTAATGCGTCGTGAAAAATACATGATATATTGGAAAGATTCAATTCAAATCAGGTTGCTTCCACGCCTCCACATTCGCCTATTGTCAAAGTACGTCTGTTTGGTCTATATTTTGTCTTGTTTTATTTGTCATTTGTCATCTGTTTCATATTTGGGTATTTTAACAGAAAATTAAATTCACAAATTTTGTATATTGGTACGCAAAGTAGGGTCACCTAACTGGAAATACAATTGTGAAATATGAAAGCCCTATCACCATCTGTTCCCAAGTTATGGCCAAGTTAAAGTTTTTTCATAAGTACAAAATTCTTCAAAATCAAGGTCAAAATGTCAGGATTATTGGCATCAAATAAAAGGTCGTGCCACAAAAATACATATGTGAAGTATGAAAGCCCTTGCCCTAACCGTTCAAAAGTTATGGCCATGGTTAAAGTTTTTCGCAAGTCCGGAAATCTCCAAGGTCAAGATTATACGTATTCAATAAACAGTCTTGCCACAAAGAATAAATATGTGAAGTATGGAAGCTCTAGCCCTAACCGTTCAAAAACTATGGCCAAGGTTAAACATTTTAAAAAGTAGGTCAAACTCCAAGGTCTAGGTCAAATGTCTTGATATCAATGAAAGGTCTTGTCACAAGAATTTAATAAATAAATAAAGTATGAAAGCACTAGCTCTTGCCTTTTAAAGATATGGTCAAGGTTTGTTTTTTAAAAGTAGGTCAAACGGTAAAAGTTCTAGGTATCTAATAAAGGGTTTTCTTACAAGGATTACAATATGTGATGTATGAAAGCTCTAGTCCTTACCTTTGAAAAGTTATTTCCAAGGTTAAGCTTTTTCATAAGTACGGAAATCTTCGAGGTCAAGAGGTCAAAGTTGGTGGTATCCAATGAAAGGTTTTGCCACAAATAATATATATGTCAAGTACAAATGTCCTGGTATCTACTGTTCAAAAGATATGGCCAACGTAAAAGTGTGGAATTTTTGTGTAAAAGTGGGTCAAACTCCAAGGTCAAAAGGTCAAATTTGGTGGTACCCAACGAAAGATCTTGTCACAACGAATATACATGTGAAATTGAAAGTCATAGATCCACTAAATCAAAAGTTATAGGCAGGGTTAAAGTTTTTGCGGACAGAGAGACAAAGAGAGAGAGACAGACAGACAGACGAATGGACACGACATATATTTTGTTTAAAACGCTGGACAGAAAATTTTGATTTATATATTGTTTTCAAACTCTACAGAAATTGAAATTATTTGTCTTCTGGGTCAATCAGTGATAAAATGCTTTCTAGCGTAGCTGAGGTGGATTGAAAATGAATTTTAAACAAGAGAATTTCAATCCAATGCTTACCCGGTCGTCCGCATCGAATTGTACCCGTCCATTTCACTGGCTATCATAACATGTTATTATATATCAAATGTTTTGATTGTTACAGATAGAAATGACGTAAGCTGCATATTTCCAATCTTGCCAGTTAATGCTCCGCGGTCTTATACGGGCCCGTTTTCTCGTCTACAGTAGTCATATTGAATAGAAATATAGTAACATTTAGTACAAATATTATTTGAAAAAAAAGAAAAGATTTGGCGTCGTTTTTTTTCTATTTCAAGTCTTTCCTTGCAAATGCTAGTTATGAGATTGATGTTTGCTTAATTTACTGTATGACGATTAAAATTATTATAATAAATAGGGCCTATATTTTATGCATTTTCCAAGCTTACATAACCTTGGTTAAACAGGTGCTTTTTCATTATCAATTTGACGCTTTTTTTCCTGACACAACTATTTCACGTCTTAGTTGATGTCATAGTATGGCATCTTTGACATTTTAGTCATAACGTTATTTGGCGTCAAAAGGGGTAACATACCTGTGAAGACCTAGAGCTAACGATAAATGATTTGTGGAACGGTTTTCAGAAGTCTCTGATGGCATAGGCCAAAGTAGGCATCTTAAGCAACTCAAAAAAATGTTTTAAAAAATATTTATTTTTTACAGAAGTAAACATAATCTGACAGTTGCATGCATGTTCACATATAAAAACAGTTACATGCTTTCTAAAATCAATTGCATCACGTGTATGTAAGCCATCTTTTCCACTACATACACAATACCAGTTATAACAATCTTGTATATTTTCTTTGAATATAAAATACACTTTTTATTTAAATTGATTAAATATTTATATTAATTACATACAGATGCATTTCTAGGAATCTAGATACTGAGTATGTCCTTGTGAATTTTTCATGAATCACTTAAATTCATTCATGTTAACAATTATACCTGATACATGTATTCAAAATTTATATAATTTTTTACAAAAAATCCTACTTTAATCACTGAAATGATATGATTGGATGACGACTTTCTGTTGATTTCTCTGTCCTGTCCCTGTAATGTCTCCCTCTCTTATGTCAATTCTCATCGACGTCCATTCCCTGTGACTTGCTTTTTGTTTTCCTCCTCTGTTTTTTGCCAGACTCCTCCCCCATGTCAACTGTTGTAAAATTAATAATAAGAAACAAATATTACTTGGCTTCAGTCTTATTAGAGGCTTTAAAACAAATCTTTCTCTTTTGAACAGGAAATGTTATAAAAGCATTGTAATTTTTTAAAAATAAAAGTGACATTTTGATGTTCCTAACATTACAATTTCTTAGAAGTTATAATTTGTAATTGGTACATAGTTTGAAATCAAGTTGTAATTAATAATTTTAACTCCAGTATAGTGTTGAATAATTTATTACAAAACCCAAACTGTCAGCAATTGTGAAGTATTGCTGTAGTGAAGCATTTGAAATTACTGTCCTTTCCACATGTACACTAAAAGTCAGCAGATTTTGGTGTGGGAAATTATTGGTCAGATCTGATTTTGAAATTGTACATAATTCATCCGATGATGTACACTAAAATTCCTTCCCTTTTTTTTGCACCTTTTTTCTTGGATTTATCAATATTTGAATATTTTTAAACAAAATACAATTAATCCATCTACTCTTTGGAGCACATGTAAACCATATTTCTTGACAGAGTTCTAAATATTTACCATCCTACATTATCCTGTACTAATGCTATTATTATCTTACCATCCTCCGTTTCCACAGCCTCTTTTTTCTTCTCGTGCTTCAGTCGCTTTAGTACTTTTCTCTTCCTCTTCCCACTAACTTTTATCCGAGCACTTTTTGTATGAACTCTGAAGACCCAAAATGTATAAGGAAATATGAAAAAAAAATGCATCAAATATACAGTATAACACGGTTAATCGGTTATAACGAAGTCATCAGGACCTGAGAAACTACTTGGCTATATCCATAATTCCTTATATCTGTATAAATGATTCATATAGCTGGGGATCTAAGATAACTTCGTTATATCCGTAAATTCGCAATATCCATGTTCATACTAAGTAAGTTTTACTGTATATAAAAATCATATGCTCTTTCACTTCAATCTTTAGTTACTTTAACCAAGGAAAAACAAGAGGCCAATAGGTCACATCCCTCACTTAAGCTAGGAAAAACACTGAAAAGCAATCCAATAATGAAAAATTTAAAAGCATAAGTGGTCCTGGCCTAACCCTAAAAGCCAAGGGGAGGGGGTATTATTTGAATTAACTTGAATCTATACTAACTAAGAATGTTAACATATTCTGAGATATTCTGAACATTAGAGGATAATTCACTCACTTGACATGTTTCTATTGTATCTCACTAAAATATTCTGAACATTAGAGGATAATTCACTCACTTGACATGTTTCTATTGTATCTCACTAAAATATTCTGAACATTAGAGGATAAATCACTCACTTGACATGCTTCTTTTGTATCTCACTGAGATATTCTAAACATAGAGGATAAATCACTCACTTGACATGCTTCTTTTGTTTCTCGCTGAGATATTCTGTCCCTGGGATGTTCTTTATATCGGGCTTCTGTTGTTTCTTCTTTAATACTGATGCTTGATGTTTGGCTTTAGAGCTCACCAACCTACTTTTTTTGGTCTACAAATAAAAAAAGATCAAGTTATTCTAAAAGCATCAAGACATTATAGCTTGTTTTTCCTTTACTTTAATACTAACAAATGCTGGTTTCTTTTTTTTTTTTTTAAATCATACTATTTTAACATGTGTAACAATTGATGGGTTGGTGTATTCCAATTATGCAAGTCGGCCTTTGAGTATCTGTGATTGGTTGAAGCAAATCACATGACCTAAAACAAAGCTATATAAGCGAGCGCAGCTAAGCTGCAGGATTCCTTTTAGTCTGATTGCCAGATGGAAGAAGACGCATACTTTGGCGATAAGGTTAGTTGAGGGGTGGCCTAGTACTACTGAGGCTAACCACAATTATTTGACAATACTAGGTGGATTGCCTGATGATGAAGGCTTGACACAATAAAGAAGTTAGTATTGTGTGATTAACCATTTAGAGTCCGACCATAGAGGGGAGTCAACCTTCAATGGCTTGCTTGGTGACCTCTCTAGATAGTGCAAGTCTCTGATAGCATTGGATGACTGTAAGTACTGAATAAGGACAATTCAGTATCCCCTGTTGTCAGAGGCTGACCACTAGGAGATAAGGACTTAGTGTCCTGACTGACAATACGAGCCTGAATAAGGACAATTCAGTATCCTCTGTAGTCAGAGGCTGACCACTAGGAGATTAGGACTTAGAATCGTGACTGACAATACGAGCTTGAATAAGGCAATACTGATGTTGGTCCGGTGGCATTGGGTGAACCCTTGTTACTTTTGAAAATATATAGCAAACCTTCAAGTGTGGTTTCCCCTAAGTAAGGGAAGGGTCATATTTGTATATATTTGCAGGCCAATCATTTAAACCAATCATTTTAAGAGGAAAATTATTTAATATTAATATCAATCTTAACCGAGATCCTGGAATTAACCCGGTACGACCCCTCAACACGTTACACTATAACATGTATTCTTTTACCTTTTCAATCAAAAGCAACCAACAAACAAAAGTTTCTAATTTGGTGTGACTGTGTGAAATGGTTAAGCGACATATATATAAATCATATTTTTATTTCAAAGGTGTCCATGCCCATTTAACCTTTTAGGCTTTTACTCATTACTGTAATAATACAGTAAAAATTTTCATTTCCCATGAATTTTGGTGTACCCCCATGAGCCTGTGAATGGGGTAAAATATGTGTGACATTCTGTGTATCGCCGGTACATATCACATGTATACATATGGAACTTACGAACTTAACAAAGTGTGGATTCTGTTTGATGTTGACCTGTCAAACAGACATTAACTTTTTTCCTACTTGTCCATTCGGAAAAGTGATCAAGACATTTACTTGTCCAAATTTCAACTTCACTCGTCCAAAAATTTTTCAATAAAGATCTAATTAAAAGTTTTAACTTGAAAATTAAAATAAAGTCTATTACACAAGACATCCTTGTTAATTTCGAGCCCTGGTTTGAACACCACCCTTCATCCCAGTTCAGGAAAGTTGCAAGGTTTTTTTTCTAACTATACCACCCCCTTCCCTAAAAAATAGAAAAAAAATCCTCTGCCTTTAACAGCTGATAAAAAATGTTATGTTCCACTTTTTATTCTGTGACATTAATCAGGTGCGGATCAAGAAATTTTTCAAAGGGGGGGGGGGGGTTAAAGATTTTTTAAAGTGGGGTTGAAGGGGAAAATAGTTAATATTTCGTACGTTTAACACATACATATAGTTAAATAACTCAATAGGATACCGAGTGGGGTATGGTTTTTAAAGGAGGTTGACCAAAAGGAAAATATATCTCCGAACCCAAAAATCCTATTTTGTAAAGGGGGTGGTGTTTCATTTTGTATTCACAACCAAATTTCTTTATATGTATGTTTGTTTATTCACCAATAAAGGGCCCTAGGGGGGCATGAACAAATTATTACAATATGATTACAATTGTATATTATAGATGTATAATGTAATATGACTAGTGATTAAGTTTGACTTTGAGAAGTGCAACACCACAAGATGTAGTTAGAATAATCTAACTGTGTCTCGGTACAAGCCCTCACCACAGTTAGAATACGTCCCATTAGTTAGAATAATCTAACTGTGTCTCGGTACAAGCCCTCAGGTCCGTAGGACAATATCATTTTAACGATAGAACATTCTATCTACACAAGATGTATTACAACATTACCCTTTCACTGAACATTTTCTATAGTAAAAACACAACAAAAATTTGGGACTTTCTTCTTTCTCTCTCTCTCTCTTTTTTGTTTTTTTTCCAAATCCAAAGGGGGGTTGTAACCCCCCTCCCCAACCCCACTCTGGATCTGCCTCTGTTAATGAAGCCAAACTGAAAGTGGTGACATTTCATGCTTTTTCTAAACTTCAGAAACTTGTTATTACCTTCCATGTGGTCTTCATAATTTCATACCAGAAACCATCGGAGCGCTGTAAAATCCAAAACCTATAGCGAGTAATTCCCGAATTGACTTGCATTGTGCAGGACCTTGTGCCTTGTCATCATTAAACTGCAAAATTATTTAAATTTAAACTTTTTTGACTGTACATAAAAGTACCCTGTAAGTGATATAAAGAGATGATTGATTTACAATAGAACTAGATGTGTAGCTTGTTATAACAATTTTTTCCCGCAGTCACACTTCTAAGGTAGAAAATGCAATTTCCGAGGTTGCGCGGCCTGGGCATACAGCTGCTTTCAAAAACATCAACAATATATTTGAAAAAAACTTTTCGAACAACACTCGTATATTCATTAAAATTCATTGGAAATCTACAATTTTCAAACCCTCTATTATCCGATCCTCACAATGCCTATTTTCACAATCGAAATATATGTATCATATCTTAAATATTAGCCGTATGAACCGGGGGGGGGGGGGGGGGGGGGCAATTATTTTGCCGATATAAGTAACTAAAAACAGTTTTGTTAAACCCTTATAAATAGTTTTCTATATATTTATTAATAAAACACTTGTGTCCCCTCAATAATAACGTCTGATGACCTTTCTTTTGTTTGTCAAGGAATTTTTGGTAGTTGAAAATTATGGTATATACCCCCCCCCCCCCCACTGAAATTGCTTCCTACCGGTATGAATCAATAATTAATAGTTCATTAAGTTCATTTGGCAATGGCGAATGAAAGTGTTAAGGATTTTTTAACAACTTACAGTTTCCTCTCCTTCTAGAAATATAAGAAATGATATTACAAGTGGAGCATTGAAATTTATACAGGTTTCATTTATATTTAAATATATGGACTGCAGAAAAAATTACTCACTAAGTCATCTGTAATGACGAACTTTCATTTTCTCATAACTTGCGTCAGTGGTGAACAAATCCAACACGAACAGTCATTATTATTTCTACGCTTTTGAGAATATAGAAACATAGACCCCCCCCCCCCCCCCCCGCAATCCTTTTGATTTATTCAATAAAATATGTTTTAAGAAAATAAAAATCAGAAACATTTCAAGACAAAAACGAAACTTCACGGCAGGATCAATTCAAAACTTTTTCTCTTCAAATTTCAAAAACTGTCCAGTAAAGAAATGAGTTACCAGGTGTAGTAATCTTAATATCATATATAAATTTTATTTGAGGAAGAAATCCGCGGGTTTTGAATATATTAGCCGTTCTACGTCAATACGACATGAAAAGCTTGCACAAGATTACCGATTTATTGAACAAACAGTAGCACATGGCAGTATTTATCCTGAATTTAAGTGAGGCGAGTAACACTTGTAACTCATAACGACAATGGGTTGGTGTCCTGTACTTTGTGTCTGTGCCATTCTGATGATCCTGTTTATACTTTCTGATGGATGTCAAATTCAGCCGACGGTGAGTTTAATATTTAATGCATCTTAATAATATAAATCACATCCATCCATGTGGATATCTGACGAGTACTCTACCACCTTAAAATTATCATTTATCAAGTTTATCCAATTTTATGGGAAATTAAAAAAAAAAGAAATCAACTGCGTATGTCTATTGAAGCAATACAGATTTATAGAACAGGGCAAATAGTTTTATGTCTAGGTTAATGTTTGAATTCAATCTCTTGTTTGTATGCAGACTTTGATACCCAGTAATTATCTATATCCAGTTTTGTGTATGTATATATCCAGTATCAAATCTGTATCCAGTTTTATATGTCGATTTTTAGGTTTTATCTTCATTGTACCTTTTTTTTTTTAATTCCCAATACATGTATAACTTCATATTTCATAGGAAAAACCAGACGTTCAATGCGACACTTGCTTGGAGGAACAATATTCGGTGAAAGGTGAGTTATTCCACCAAACAAATTTCTTATATGGTCTTATGAAATTTGTAGTTTTATGAAACTCAAAATTATCAGTTTGCAGTCAAGCCACGGGCCGGAAACACAGGTTAAACGACTTCACCGTGTTGAGCTCAAACGCCAAGGTCTTGTCTCGTGAATTTGTCAATAACAGAACTGCTATCAAGTTAGATATTTCAAGTGAGTTTTTTAAAGTTAATTTAAATCGCATAAATTTATAGTTTTTAATTAACATTATCAATTTATAATTTAAATTTATAAATTTAGAAGTTCAATGAAACTTTAGTAGCATTAATAGGTAATGATGACTAAATCATTGTAGGGGTATCGTATTGATAGATAATGACTAAATCTTGGTAGGGGTATTGTATAAATAGATGATGGCTAAATCATTGTAGGGGTATTGATAGATGATGATGACTAAATCATTGTAGGGGTATTGTATTAATAGACGATGTTGACTAAATCATTGTAGGGGTATTGTATTGATAGATGATTATGACTAAATCATTGTAGGGGTATTGTATTGATAGATGATGTTGACTAAATCATTGTAGGGGTATTTTATTGATAGATGATGATGACTGAATCATTGTAGGGGTATTGTATTGATAGATGATGACTAAATCATTGTAGGGGAGTATTCACAGTACACAAGAGGCTATCTTTTTATCTTTCTAATGGATGACGATGCCAGATTATTATGTAAATCGACCTTATTTCCAAGATGTAGAGCTTCACTGGTATTGTATTATTGTGTGTTATTTTAATTTCATGTTAAAGTTAAATCGCTGGAATTTAAATTACTGTTGTTTTTCAAATGTATAACATATATTTATTTCATTGTTTTTCAAATATAAACAATTACTGATAATCTGTTTTAATTTATTATTAAAAATATTTCAACTTTTTTTTCTATTGAATACAAGGAGTTTTTTTGCTTGATTTTAGTTCACTCTCTGATGTCGGCGGAAGTAATATCTGTCTTAGACAGATATAACATTAATTACTACAATTAAAATTCACAAAAGATAAATATTTTATATAATGTTTTGTCGATTTGATACATAAAACTGTTTCCACTAGTCTGCCCAAAATGAATGTTACCGATGTCTGTTACCCTGTCAAATAAATGAATGTTACCGATGTCTGTTACCCTGTCAAATAAATGAATGTTACCGATGTCTGTTACCCTGTCAAATAAATGGTACAGGTGTTTGTTAACTTACCTTTATCAAATAAAGGATACAGTCTCTTTACCTCTATCAAATAAATGGTACTCGCGTCCGTTACTCATGAAATTAATAGTACAGGCGTCTTTAACCTATCCGATAAATGATGCAAATGTCTGTAGAACCCTATCAAAGAAATGGCAAAGGCGTCTTTAACCCTATTAAATAAATTATCAATTAATGGCACATGCCTAATTGATCCTATGAAATAAATGGAACAGGCGTCTTTACCGTATCAAACAAATGATACAGGTGTCTGTTACCCTATCAAATAAATGATACAAGCGTCTTAAATCTTCCCCTGGAGTGTCTCCTCTTATTTATAAAATCTAGTAACATCAACTGATGAGAACATTTTTACAGGCGTCTCTTGCCCTGTCAGTCAATGGGAGAAGTAGTGCAGGCCCAGAAATTCATCAGCTGTTGGATGTTCATGCTGTTACAGAAGGTGGTTTTGTTTGATAAGTTTACAGGGAATCAAAAAAATATAAATTGGTGGCACATGCAGTCATACAATCGTTTTTTTTTTGTTTTCTTAAGATCTGAATCAATGATTAGATTTTATATGTCTTTATACATATCAATATTAAAGATTGGATAAGTGAAATAACGACCAGCGGATCTAATTCGTCTTATCTGAAGATTTCATTTGACGTAAAGAGTCGTGACGTTAAATGGTACGCAGTGGAATTATGGGATAGCAAGAACAATCTCATAAAAGCGGATAAAACTGAAAAGGTAAATACATATTATCAAATAATGAAACAAACACACGTCATATATAACGTTTTAATGATTACTTGGAAGATCATTGCATGCTCGATTATTAAATTTTATAGTTGAATATCTCGTTGTATTATTTAAAACACGGAAGAAATTCTGTTGTTGCTGTGAATCAAATCAGAAAATGACGGTAAACATGGCGAAGGGATTGTCCGTGGATTATGTTACATTCTTTTATTAGTTAATGTCCACAAGTGTTAACAAACATTGGAAAATTACAAAATAAGGCCAAACAAAAACCAAATAATTCACTGCAAAGAGTTATTCAATTAGAATAGAAAAACCAAATAATTCACAGAGTCATTCAATTGGAATATGTTTTTCGACAGAAGTTTTTGCATACGGAATCAAAAGTATTGAAAATCACAAATTAAACAAGGTTAAGTTATTCAAAAATTAGATCTTCAATTTTTATTACCAATGGTTAAATGATTTGGCAAAATAAGCAAATGTAAAAGGGCTATTATCATCTGTAGAAGTCTTATTTTTCTTTCCAGAATTACATCGTATTCATGAACGTCACAAAAGGATTATATTACGCTGTGGTATGTATTAATATTTTTTATTGAAGAATCAAGTCTCATCTAATTCACAAATTTAATAGACGGGAGGCTTACGATCATTTAATAACTAGCCGATGTTACCACTTCGCAGGTGGAAGTACATATGTTGAAGCACGTTTCGAAAATCCATTGTGATATTGTCAGAAAAAATACATTCATGTAAAACAAATATTTGTTAATGATTTTAAAATTTTCATTAATGATATCTATCTTTATTCAGGGGGGAATATATTTATTATATTATCATACGTTACCTTGATGGTATGCCTAAATGATTATGATACACTACTGACAATAAGACAAACAGAATTTTTGTCTGGTCTCAATTATAGCCACTAGTATTTAAAGCAAGTTTTGGAATGTTCATATAACGTACATTATTCTCCATGATTGACAGTATTCTCTGAGATATGCAGTATTCATAATGATAAGACCATATTCATTGTGACACGGCTGTTTTCACTGTGGTATATCAGATTTCACTGAGATATATCCGTATTCACTTTGATATATCAGTATTCACTGGAATATGTCAGTTTTCACTGTA